AGAAGTCTGAGGCGAAAAACACAGATCTCTGGCGAGATGCAACCTTTTGTTTTATATCCTCGGGGCCATCACACATGGATCTGAGACCACGGCTACCCCCAGGGATGGGGTCGAGAGCGCTGGGGCCGCGAATTGTTTAACAACAAAAAAACGGATGTCAGGGAACCGGGTCCTGGGAACGGGTCGAAAAGTCCGGCGACCTGGCACAGAAACAAAAGAAATGCATCGGAGGCCTTAGCTGGTGAGGGAGGGATAGGAGAGAGAGAGAGAGAGTGAGAGAGAAGCAAAAAGAGAGAGAGAGAGAGAGAGAGCGAGAGCGAGAGAGAGAGAGGGGAAAAGTAAAAAGATAAAGAAAAGAGAGCGAGAGAGAGAGAGAGGGACGCCGACTGCGGCCGCGTCCGCGCGGGGCGGGCACGGGCAGGCTCAGAAGCAAATGGGGAAGGGCGCGCCGAACGCGACCGGGATGAGCGGGAGGCGGAGAGGGACGGCGGCCCGCAGCGCGAAGCGCGAGGCCCCCTGCCATCCCCCGCTGCCACCGCCACCCGCCAGATCCAGCGGCTCCCCCTGCCATCCCCCGCTGCCACCACCACCCGCCATCCCCCACTGCCACTGTCCACATTGACGCCGAGCGGCGGCGCATCGCCGCCGTCGTCCCCGAGGCGGACACACGAGATGCACCAGAGCCCTGGCCGGGTGCCGACGGCCCCACGCGGTGTCCCGCGTGCCCGTGCGGCAAAGCCGACCGCAGGGCCACTCCGTACTTGCGGATTGCTGGCCAGACTCCTCGAGAAGTATGAATTCCTTGACAATGCACACGCTAGACGTGTAACACGCTGCTTCAGCTTTGAAGCACACATCTCTAAGAGGGAGGGGGAGGAGGGGGAGGAGGAGGAGGAGGAGGAGGAGGAGGAGGAGGAGGAGGAGGAGGAGGAGGAGGAGGAGGAGGAAAAGGGCTTCAGGGTGGGTGACTAGGTCGACTCCGACCCGCCCAAACGTCATACCGGCAACGCGCGACGTGACGACGGCCAGCCGACCGACAAACCACGCACGACAGCGAAGAAAAGAGGAGAGGAGAGAATGGGGAGCGGGAAGGGGAAGGGAAGGGGGATGAGGAGCAGGAAAGAGAGAAGAAACACCGAGAAACCAAAAAATACCGATACCGCTACTCCCTGAACTTATCCACGGGGGCGTTCTGACCAGAACTTCGACGCGAACCCAGCCGTGCGACGAGGGCCTCCGGGGAGGCCCCGAAAAAGTGAAAACAAGGCAAAGGTAGCGGCATCACTACCATTTCCTCCCCTGAGGAGAAGGGAGACGAGAGGGGGAGCAAGTGCGGATTCAGCTGGAAATGCAGGCGCATCGAAAAAAGCTGTTGTCAGATGCTGATGACCGCGCTCTGGGTGCCCGAGCCCACAGCTCCACAGCCTGTCAGGCAGTCACGAGTAATCCCTACCCTTGCAGGTAAGATTTCTGACATGCTGGCTGGGGCTCAGATTCCGAAGGATGTCCGAAGCCAAATCAACCCTGGGGGGGGTCCTATACCCCAGCGTCAGAAGGACCAGCAGGGGTGCTGGAATGACCGCGGGGGGTGCTAAGGGGATGGGGGGCTATGAGCGGATGCCAAGGCGGCTATATCTGGTTCAACCTGGCTTATCAGCGATCCGGGCAAAGTGGGCTCCGCCCCTTTCGGTGAGTTATCCATCCCCCCATAAGCGATTTAGGGCATTCGTGACTCGTAACCCACTTATATCTTTGTCACATATACACATATAGCTTCTGACGTCCGCGAAGGACTCCCCTATCCCCATCAACAACCCCCGCGGTCATCCCAATAGGGTTCGCGATTGGCTGCAGACCTGTGCCGTGGCTCTCCGCCGTGGCGCCCAGAGACTGCTGCATCCACCCGCAGCCCCAGACGCTCTGCCGCGCCGCGCAGCTGCCGTCCTCGGCCACCTCGTAGCGCCTCTCGCCGAGGGTGAGCCGCTGCCTGGCATCCTCAGGAAGTGCAAGAACACAAACGGCTTCAAGTATACATACACATGTAGCTGTAGACATATACATATATATACACAAATCCAACGAAAACTAGCGCAAAAACAAAAACCATGCGATTGACTATGCTCGGCCTCATGGGCCCTCTGGCATCCTCAAACAACGGCCTGGGGAGTACGCGGGCGTCTGCTGGTTGCACTCCGCGCCGCCGCGCTGCTCCCGGGCAGGCCTCGCTGCCCGGCGAAGGGGGAAGCGGAGGGGAGCAGCAGGCCCGGGAGCCCAGGAGCAGCACCCCTGCCAGTGCCCAGAAAGACCGGTGCAGGAGGAGGAGGAGGAGGAGGAGGAGGAGGAGGAGGAGGTGAGGAGGAGGAGGACGGGGAGAGTGGCCTCGCTGCCCGACGCCGGCCTCGACACCGGCACCGGTTCTGCACTGGAAGAACCGGTGCAGAAGCACGACCCAGGGTGAAGAACCCGCGCCCAGGAAGAGGTCCAGACCTCTGGGGAGCCACGCTGGGAAAGCATCACGGCGTCGGATGTCTGTGGTCCCCCGCTGTCCCTGGAGACGAGCCCCGCCATCAGAGCGGTGAGGCCCGGGGAGAACACCTCGGCCAGGGTCTCTCCGCCGCCCTTGCGGAGCCGGCGCTTGGTGAGGAACTTCTGGAAGCCGAACATGCACACGTACTCGAAGAGCTCGCAGGTCTTCCTCGGGGCGGGAGCGAAAGGTTAGGATAGCAGAGGGCAGGGAACAGAATCAGCTCACGTGGCTGGTTTTTCTGGCGCCTTCTGGCGTAAGGAGGCGCCTATGTATCGAAGAATGGGACCCGCGGCGGGAGGGAAACCAGCTGCATGAAGCAGACTTCGTAACCCCCCTTTCCCTATCCTACCCTTTCGTCCGGCCCGACTTCCGTTTGGTAGAGCTCCAGGGGTAGTCCTGCGCGGCCATGGCGAACAGAACCACGCCAAGCGAGAATGCATCTGTCATGAAGGTGTCGAAGGGCTGCGGCAGGTGAATCTCCGGGGCCTGATACGACTGCTTCCCCATGATCTCCGCCGTCGCCGACTGCTCCAGCGTGGCCATCCCAAAATCTATGATATTGATCCTCAGGTTGCCGTTGTCGTTGTGGAGCAGCAGATTCTCGAGAGACAGATCTCGATGAGCGACACCAAGGTCGTGCAGCCACCTCACTCCTGGGGGAAACGAACAGATTTCGACACGTACTGCTGCTCCCCAAACCTCTCCTGATCCCGGCGCCTCTTTCCGACGCCGCGTGGACCATGCAACCTTGGAACGACCGGTGGCTTCTCGATCGCCACACTGCTCCATCTCGGCCAACTCTGGGCCACCGGCGGCGTTCAGTCTCGAACGCCCGTGGCGGGGTCGCCGCCGCGTCGACACGACACGAACCTACTCCAGATTTCGTGATAAAGGGAGGGGGGTCTCATTTCGGGGGGGGG